CCGGCGCCCCCCAGGGGGCCTATATAAAGGAGGGTGGAGGGAGGGCAGTCGCACCCTGAGTCTTGGAGCCTCCCTCCCCCTGCTACACCTCTTTCTCCTCCCGCAGTTGCTTGGCGAAGCCCTGCCGGAGTCCTGCTGCATCCACCACCACGCCGTCGGTGCTGCTGGATCTTCATTTTCAACCTCTCCTTCCCCCTTGTTGGATCAAGACGGAGGAGACGTCACGCTGACCGTACGTGTGTTGAACGTGGAGGTGTCGTCCGTTCGGCGCTAGGATCTCCGGTGATAGGATCACGACGAGAACGACTACCTCAACCCCGTTCTCTTGAACGCTTCCGCACGCGATCTACAAGGGTATGTAGATGCATCTCTCTCTCTCGTTGCTAGATGAACTCATAGATGGATCTTGGTGAACATAGGAAATTTTTTATTTTATGCAACGTTCGCCAACAAGAAGGACAACCCTTCTATGTCTGCTTATTAACTGTTGAAATGTTGGAAACAGAAGCGAGGCATCGAGAGCAAGAAGATTCTTAAGCAACTCAACCCATGCATTATGTTAAATTGGGCACGTGTAAACGCCAAGTGCATTAACAGACCCACCAGCACGAGCATAGAACCCCCCAATGATGTTACTATCAGGAACCTGGCTGCTAAAAGGGGTGCCGTTTGCTTTTCCAAAAGGCCCATATGTTGTAACGTTGCTGACCAAGGTAAGTGATGTAACAACTGTTTCTCCTCCAATTGTACCGGTTGTTCCAAGAACTTGCTTTATAAACTCAGAAGGAGCAAGCGTGATCTGCAAGGGGGCACATGCACACAGTGTGAGACTAAAGTTAAACCACCAAAAAAATGTAGAAATTAAGATAAAGTACCAAAATAACTCACAATCGCAGTAAGTGCACCATCACCACCCCATGGTCCAACAATTCTCTTTTGACCAGATTGGTCAGTGTAGGAAAACATAATTGAGTTAATCACGTCCCCACATCGAATTGTCACGGTTTGAAGAGAGCGAGGAAGCTCCGTGATGTCAAAGACTGTCCCTCCGTCCCCACCCCATGGTCCCATCTTGTTCAATGGGGTCTGGGCATAGGTGATCAAGTGGCATAGAATATCTAAAAAAAGATTGAGTAAATCCAAGTCGTTTAGTAAGATGCTATTTTTGTACCTAATATAGGAGAACAATTAATGGTAAATGTATCTCACCACTTTAGGGATGCACAGACAGAAAGCACTAATACGAAGCTCCCAACTACGCCCGGGAGTAGGTGGTATATTTTGAATTACTTTGGCGATAACAACACCTTGTGCATATGCGAACTCTCCAATCCCACCTACAATTGCCCATTCACTATCTTTGCCGCTTACAAAGTCACCAAGAACCTTAAGACTGGACCCCTTAGACCTAATAAGTGAATTCAAATCACAAAATCTTAGCATAAAAAGTATATATAGACCCAAGGTAAGGTAACTATAAAAGATGATAAACCAACCTTGTATCAATGAACAGTATATTGTGACAGAATAACCAGTTCTCGTCGGCTTTACCATCACCCATGTGCATGCCACGAGCACGTGCAACAAGGTTTGCATCGGCGGCCGGACCATCACGTATGACCCAGTCGTTTGCAACAGTGATACCAAACCCCAATGGAAGACCTGGATTGACAACTATTTTTTGGTTGGCATTTGGGTTTCCTTCTGTGATCTGGTTCATGTATAAGTGGAAGAGATGCTCCTTCTGTTTGATGTCTTGGCAAACACCACTCTGGTAGTAGGAAGGGTTTGTAGCGGCCATGGCTATGGGATGTGTGGGAACTTGAGCTAAGCGAGCTAGCTAGGATTCGGTGTGCTTGGTGTGGAAATGAATTAGTGAAGGTGGCAATTTATAGCCAAGTATGACCATGGCATATTCGCACTGAGATGGGTAAATGACAATTGTAGTTAGTTGTTTTGCCATGATTATCCATGGCTCAATCCGACTTGATATTATCTAGCTTGATGTCTTTGAGTATGTATATAAAAGGTCTGTGGCAGGTGGAAGGCGTTGGGGTCCTTCAGATCCCTTTTTTTTTTGAACACAAGAAGGGCCCCGAAGGACCCAGACTTATACTAGATAAGCATGCAACATATTACAGAAAGGCCCAACAGAAAGAGAAAATTACAACCCAGGCCGGACATTTTGCAGATAGGACCCCAGACAACAAAAATGAAAAGCAATCGAGTCTTCTTCACCGTCTTCGATCCTGGCTCGATCCCACCACCACCGGGGACGAAACCACTTGGGGTGAAGGAATGGCTACAGCACCGCCGGCAAACAACCGGAGGTAGACCATGGAAATACCAGGACAAAGAACCAGATAAACTGCCTCCCATATGGCTCGGCGGCCAGGAGGAAATACAGGAGCCAGACGTCGTCGCCAGAACTCCGAGTGGTCGCCTTTCGACCAGCAGATACAACAGCGCAGTGGCAAGAAACTCCTGGTGCTCTCTGCACCAAGATCCCCAACCATTTGCTGCAGAACTTGGGCTCCAAGGACACGCAGAGAGGAGAGAGCAGCCAAATCCCCTTTCTTCCTCTTCTTCCAATCCACCTCCATGGCAGCTCGAGGAGAAGTAAGGAAGAAGGAGCTTGAGCTCCAGATCTGAGAGACCCGCGAGCTTATTGAGAGGGATTTTGCCAGATCCAGCGCCTCCTCCCTTCCTCCACCATGGAGACGAAGAAGAAGACAAGAACGGCAACCACCGGCAGCTGCTCGCAAGCACCGGCGGTAGAAACCCCAACGGCATAGCGCCAAACCACAAGACGACCTGAACTAAACCAGTATATACAAGCATCTCCCGGGTGCCTCTCCCAAGCCATCGTCGATCGGCATCGCCGACGGACAAGGCTCGAGATCGGGCTGGGGTGCCTGGAGCGACTCTCAAGGGGACGGGTGGAGAAGGAGAGACGGTGGGAGAGGACCGGAAGAGTCCTTCAGATCCCATTTGATCTTCTTGACTGCAGCTCTAGTCATAAAAATATATATCCATTTTGAAGTGTCATCAACTTTCATGCAGTTAGCTCTTTCCTGTTATTTTAGAGACTTTGCAGACGAGTCCTTTGTTTAAGGAAACTGTTACTCAATATTTCTAGAGGATAAGCTTAAAACTGATTGGTAGAATACAAAAGTTATATGTTATCCATCGTACTATAATTGGTGTGTAATCGATCCAATCATGTATGATTTTTTTCCTTGAAAATAATGTGACCGGAAGACCTTGTCTGGTTCCACCTGATCATTCTTTTTTTTTCTTGCACATATGAATATGGGTCATTCTGCTTTGCCGAGATATACATCTAGTACTCTGTGCGTAAATAGCTATATGTCGGTTGTTGCTAACATATGAAAACATTTTTACCTCGGCGCATCTTACCTTACTTATATTTTCAACGAAAACCACGCGTTGCAAGAAGTTGAGACACTAAAAATGCACTTTACACTTTATAATTTGTAAACAAAATTGGCAGCCGGATGTCCAAGCAACGCCATTACTAACATGTTCATGAAAACAAAATCTCTTCCTTCTGGATTAGACAGATGAAAAATGTTTGAGACTTACCTACACTAGTTAGCCGGCCGGGTCATTTTAGTGCTGCATGCAAGTGAACAATGCATATATATGCCACAAAGGTTCATGCATCTGACCAACAACTACGTATTATTTTTTGGGCCCCTCCACATCAGTTCAGCCACTAGATGCTCACCAGCCAATACACAGCTAAGACCACCCAACTAAAGATAAGTTTGCGGGAACGCCAATTTCGTCATTGTATATTAGGTCTTGCATAGAACTGAAGATATGAGTTATATTTCTTTTATTTCCTTTTGGTCCAAATAGTACAATCTTTGTGAATGACTTGACCTCATCTGCCAATGTAGGTTTGGTATAACTATATATCTACGCGTCGGGGTCCATGGAGACGCGGTGGACCCCGGCCCTTGCCGGCGGGAGGGCTTCATTATTAGGATTTTTTTTTAGTTTTGTTAGGGTTTGTGCCATGCTCAAGAAGACGAGGCGGCGGCGGATTCTTGTAGATGGAATAAGGTCCTCCCAGCCTAGCCCCCGACCTTTCAGCTGTCATCGGAAGGCGTGTGGAGGTTTGCTTCGGACGGATCTTGTGGGATCCGGTCCGCGTTTGTCTTTGGTGGCTGCGACTAGATCCGGTCTTCGTTTGTGTACGTCTATGTGTGCAGGTTGGATCCTTCTGATCTACGCTTCTCTTCATCGGCGACGATTGTTGTTCTGGTGCGCTGGTCTTATGGAGTCTTAGCACGACGTCTTCCCGATTGTTTTTTTACAACAATGTTTCCCCGGCTTTGACGAGGGAGGGTGATGACGGCGGCGCGCCTTCGGCTCACTCCAGTGATTGTAGTCGTCACTAAGTGATCTACGGACCTGGATGTAAATTTTACTTCTAGTGTTCTTTGTACCATCTTGACATTTGACGAATAGATCGAAAGTTTTCTCGATTTTTTTTTGCCATGGCTTAACATGAAGCATGTGGTGTGGCTGACTGATACAAATTATTGCCCTGTTTTATACCTCAAATTCCACTACATCTCGGACCCCACTACACCATAATTAATTAGCATATGTGACGTGGTAGATGTGCTCATGTACACCCTATCCAACATCGAATAGCCAGCTCTAGAAATTGTCAGTGCGGAAGTTCTAAGCTTTTCCCCTGAAGCTTGATAGTTTTTATTTGGTACAAGTTCAGACTTGATTTTTCTAGAGTACCCACCGAACTATATTAGGGATTCAATATAGACTAAATACCAACGCCAATAAGCCAAACATGATGGCCAACATTACTGTGCAACTAGCTAACTAATGCACCTCCTTGAGCCGGTCCTTATAGCAAGCAGGAGGCTTCTCGTCTGTTCCTTGACCTTTTCTTTTCTTTTGAGTGGACGTTGACACAAATATAACAGTCCATTCCTTGAATTTTTGTAGGGGAATGGACC